GGGGGAAAAAAAGGGGGGGAAAAAAAAAAGGAAAAACAAAAGGGGGGGGGGCCGGGGAAAAGAAAAAGGGGGGGGCAAAAAACCCCGGGAAAAAAGGGGGGGGGGGGGGAAAAAAAAAAAAAAAGGGGGGAAGGGGGGGGGGGGGGGAAGGAAAAAAGGGGGAACCCAAAAGGGCCCCGGGGGGCCGGGGGGGGAAAAAAGGGGGGGCCGGGGGGGGAAAAAACGGGGGGGGGGGGAAAGGGGGGCAGAAAAAAACCCCCCCGGGAAAAACCCGGGGGGGGGGGGGGGAAAGGGGGGAAAGGGAAGGGGACGAAAAAACGGGGACCGCCCCCCCCCCCCCCCCCCTCCTCTCCCCCCGGCCACACCATTTCTCAGAAGGGTAAATTAAAGTGAGGCGACGCCGGGATAGCGGCAAGGCCGTCAAGCGTCAGTCGTCCTCCTCAGCGGTTGCCGGCTGCGCCTCTCGAAATTGCCATTCTTGACGACACAGCGGGCACTGCTGCGGCCGGTTTTGCTGCGTTGCGAACTGGAGGTGCTTCAGGACGCAGTGCATGTGGAAGGTGTGGTTGCACTGCCCCCACACTGAGTTTTCACGGCATGCAGAGAAGGATGGCGGAACATGGCGTGGGTGCCGACAAACGTGATTCGCGGGGCCCAAGGCGCAACAGACGGGGGAGAAGCGCGAAACGGTCGCAGGTATGTCAGCAACTTCAAAGCTGCCGGCTCCGCAATAGTTGGTTTTACCCGTCAAAAAGTGTGTGAGCATGTAGGATGTGTACAGGAGTGGACAGCAACCCGCGATGTAGGTACTGCTGTAGCACTCGCGTAGATGCTGCAAAGCTGGCATATACACCAGATATCCCAAAAACAGGGCCACAAGGGCACAGCGGGGAGAATTGTGTGATGGACACAGGCTATGGCATGTTCACCGATCGCCGCACAAAAGCAGTGCCCCGCCCCCGCGTTGCCGTGATAAGCACAGAGACCAAAGCAAAGTCGTATGCACTCATTCATGTCGTACAGCAGAGTGGGAGCAGAACAGGGGCCACGGAGAAGGAAGCGTTTTCCGTCCGCGGAAACCATAGAAGTAGACCGCCAGTTGGCTATCTATGCATGCCGCGATGCTAACGCCACAATAAACGACAGCAAGGTGCCCTCGTAGAGAGCTTACACAACCGAGCTGCAGAAAAAGCTCACCTGGCGAGCAGTTGTCCCCCGGGACGGTGCAATCGGGACAGCAGGCATCGAACGCTAGGCGACAAATACCGCACACGTCTTCGTTAACGTCCCACTTCCACACCGCCACACCGTGCCATCTGCGTGACGACACGTCGATTGACGCGCTAAATGATAGATGCATACGTGGCTCAGGAAGGAAAGGGGCAATCCTGCGCTAGGGTTGTGAGACTCCCTCAAGAAAACCACGATTGATTGTGGCCCTACTATGGAGAAGTATGCAGTAATCCCACCTGCATCTTAGCGACCTATGCGCACGGAGCATCAAGTGTTTATCTTTTGTTCTGGGCGACCGGAGGTACAGTACTGTTATCCGTGACTGAAACAACCGCGCATGTTCTTGTCAAAACGATGATCCAGAACCACTCGGGAACACCACACTCTGCGTTGATACGGCAGCTGCACCGCTGTACTTGCGGTGTTTTTCCGGGCACAAACAACAGAAGACAGCTGGATGAAGCGTGTATTCTCAAATACAAACGCTGTAGTGTGGAATGGATGCGAACGATTTGCGCCGTACTCAGCAAGCCAGCTGGCCGTTAAGGCTTGCCCGTGATGACAACCAGCATCCCAAAGCTTGGCCCCATCATCGCCAGCGCCCCACGGGCGGCCGCTTGTACAGCACTCGGAGCCGCCCTGGGCTGCGAGAGCAGATAGCCCTACCCTCGTACTCACACACGCGGCTCGCAGCTCGCTGGTCCCCAACTTCGAGTATGGGGAAATCCAGGCAACTCACCCTGCGCAGCAGAAGAGCATAATCCAGGACAGATAGGACAAACAGGCATCTCAAATTCAGCTGACAGGAGAAGAAGAACGAGAGTCGGCGACTGCCCCTGCGGACGACTGGAATGGGACCGAACAGGTTTCGTATTGTCAACCTCAAGAACACTCACTTTTCACGGTGACCTTCATGAGCGAGCTCTACTCTGCTGACTAATCTCGGACGGCTGACCTCGGAAGATCTGAACCGCGGCGAATGTGGCAGTGGGCCGTGGGTGGGCAGCGGGAAGCAGTGGGCAGCAGGCAGCAGGGAGCAAAAGTGTCGGTTCGGGACGATTGTAATTGCGCCGTTGAATAATTTTCGAACCAGCTGACCAGCTGGCAGCGTGTTGTTAGAACCAGATGTAGCCCCCGCATACACTACGACTGCTGTGCCACCATCCAAGACTTTGATGCGCTTCTTGACAAGTGTTCGTCAAATACCATCGCTACTCCCCAACCACCTCTTTTACAAGAGAGGCGCACGGAAACAACTCGGGCCGCAGGGTTTCTGAAAATGGTTCGGAAGGCTGTTCTTTCTCTGTGGTTCTGGGCGAGTGGTTCTCGCTTTCCCGCCGCACGTGACCGGACCAGGCTCGATCGATCACCGATCACCGATGCCACCGGAGAGGTGCTTTGTGTTGGTGTGCTCTCGCTCTCGGGGTTGCAATGTCGGGTCCTGCTGCGAGCGTGTCGCGTCGGCAGCCCTTGTCTTCTCTCTTGGCTGGTGCTATGCGAGCGCTCAATCGGGTGACCTCCTTCGTCCCGCCGCCTCCCTCTGGAAAGGATGGCGTCCAGGAGAAGATCGTGGTGGTCCAGGTCCACCCTAACGGGAAGGACCCGTCCTTCACCTTGGCCTTGGGGGAGGCCGTGCGGGACTCGCTGAAAGATGCAGGTGCGTAGGCATTCTTCGGGATTTCGAACATTAGCAGCACTGCCCTTGCCTACTCCCTCGTATTGTTGCGTGTTGCGCCTACAGTATGTAATGCTGTAGCGTCGCCTACATCCAACGAGAGCGGCGTTGCATCGCCGCCTTCGTTGCGGTATGTATGTATATATGTATGCTGTTTCATGGAAGTTGTGCTTGGGCTTTGTTTCCCGTTTCTGCCGCGCCAATGAATAGAGCAACTTCACCAAGAGACAAAATCTATCGTCTTGTGTTACCGCGCGCGATATGTATGTGTTAGCGCCAACTTAGCCCTGCAATACCCCTCACGGGGTAGACCTACACGCTGTCGAGCAACTGCTACTGCTGTACGTATGCATACGAGATTTGTTGAGCGTTGTGCATTGTACCAGCAGCCCTTATCCTCGTGGTCGGCTGCGAAATCCGGTAGGTGATCAGGCGAACCACGTAACAAGCATCTGAAACGGCGTTGCTACAGCAGTATACATGTAGCAGTGCAGCAATTTCTCACGATCTTGCAGCGAAGAAGCGCCGGCAAGGTGTCCATGGGAATGGCATAGTCCAGCCTTTGGAAGAATGCTTGTGACTCGACGTACGTGAGCTCCAAAGAGATCGATCATCTGCGCATGCTTTCTGCGAGTTTTCTGCGCTCTCCACCTCTCGGGCATAAGTAGTCACGATCGGTGTTCGATGGCTGCGCACAGATGCGTCCATTCCCGTCGGATTGCGCACGGACGGCGATCGCATACGTACATATTATCGGTTTCACGATCGCAGGACATCAAGTGCGGGTGACAAATCTCTACCAGGAGCAGTTCCAGGCGGCCCTGGGCGGACAGGAGCACCGAGGGTTCATGACGGCGTTCCGCGACGGACAGGTTGCGGAGGACGTGAAGGGGCACGTGGACGATCTCCAATGGTGCTCGGGGCTTGTGCTGTGCTATCCCACCTGGTGGTATTCCTTCCCTGCCATTTTAAAGGTGTCGTTGCCGCCGTCAGCATGATTTCCGTCTGCTGTAAGGAGTAGCTTTCGAAGCGATGGTGGACAGGGTGTCCAGGGTCATGGTCGGGATTTGCGCCGACGGCGCTGGAAATGTTCATAAACCCATTCCTCTGGCCCCACGCCATTTTGATGGCGACGCGTCTCGAAGAAGCCCACACCTTGAGTACACTCAAGGAATGCCATTTGCTGCGGTTTGCACAACGTTTTAGGTATTTTCCGGCAGACATCGCAAGCCTACCGTCTTGTGGGGTGCTGTTTTATGTTCCAGGAGGGAGCGGAGGTTGGAAGAGAGGCCATGACCGACCATGTTGACATCGCCGCCGTGCTATACGAAATGGCTTGTATACAACCGCATACTTGGTAGAAGACGTGCTGGCTCGTGTTTTGGACTAGTACTGATGCCTGGGGATGGTGCTGTGCTATACTCCAACCGCCAAGACCCTCCTACCTATGCATCGTTCCACTTTAACCGTGGGTGGGGTCAAATACCCCCCTCCCCTCCCGGTTTTCCCATCCACTCGACGGTGCCTGCGTAATCTCCCTTGCTGTAGGGCTGGCTTGACCGAACGCTGATGCCGGGAGTGGCGTTCGACCTCCCGAATGGCGTGGAGAAGCCTCACCCCAAGACCGGCTTCATCAGCCGACTCACCAACATCCGAAAGGCAGGCTACTGTACCATTCGAATCAACGCACCTAAGATCCTGTTGTAGCGGACCGCCTTCCCGCGATTAATAAGGTTGTGAAGAAACAGAACAGGGAGGGGGGACGCAAACCGTATTCCCTAACCCTAGCCCTAACCCAACTTCCCCGATGGCATGCTTTATCCGACATAGTTACAAAATACGAAAACCCCTACGAGGGCTAGTGGTTGTAGCGCCCCCCTGCGTCTCAAGGTCGGGCACGTAGCAGTTACACCAGGTTGTACACATGATGGGAGATCTTCTGAAATGTGTTACAGATTCCGTCCCCAGGCAGTGCTGGGTAAGGTTTTTCTCTTCATCTCAAAGCATATCAGCCGCAAGGCAAGGTCATTGTACACTTCTGATGTCTTTCTGAAGGCGCCCGTGTTTAGCGTAGCCCGATCTCTGCATAGAGGTAGGTCATCGACGTGTACTGACGTTTTCGTAACATTTCTTCGAGCACCACCCGAGCCGAACGCTGTGGTACATGTGAAATAAGAATTAAGAATTAGTAAATCTACAGACTAAATCCGCGTGAATGCTACAGGTCTGTTAAGCGTCGTCGCCTGTCGCCGAAACGCCTTGCCGTCGGTCGCTCCGTTGTCTCCGCTGCTCGCTGCATTTTTTTTTCTTGTGAGCAGGTTGGCATGGTGACCACTTTCGGGAACAGTTTTTGGAACGTGCGATACGTAGGCGACCCCGGCAGGCGAATAGTGTCGAGAGGCCTCCGACCTCTCTTTCACCCGGAGTGCACGTTGCTGTGGAAAGGGCTGTACGACGTAGAAAAGTGCCCGCCGCAGGACAGGTCGGCATTTTTGGAAGATGTCGGTCGTTCTTTTCGGGACTTTTAGGTGTTGGTTTGGATTCGAAGCGCAGCTCTTTTTTCTTCCTCTTATGGATTTTGGTTCGAACTTGCTTTCCAGTTTTGTTGCTTTCGTGGAACGCGCTAAACGATGTGAACATTGCCCGCGGTTGTGGTTGAGCGATTGTGAAGCGGTCAGCCATTGGAGTCAGGGGGGCTTGCGGGAGCATACCTGTACTGTAGAGTATGGTTTCTTTCTTTGTGTTCTTCCCGCGATGCTCGTCCTACTGCTGCCAGTGTTACGTGTGATGTTCTTTTTTGTTTTCTCGAACACTGCTGTATCTCAGTACTTCATGTCATGTTCGTCGGACGTCTTGCATTCACTGGTTGCGTCCAACTCGAATTCCCCGCCCAGTGCTCGGTAGTTTGTGGACGAGAAACGTGATTTTGGTGAGAGAATTATTTTCGATCAAGCCTGTGGGGCACGTGTGGCAATCGGTCATCGTACTCGATTGCTGGCCACCGAAGACCGTCCACGGGGTGAGTGTCAGTACACGGGCAACCTGGCTTGCATGCACGCCCAACCCCAATACTCGTACCGTGGTCGAGCAAGTCGTTTCCGGCCTTCGCCACAACACTACGCTGAACCACAATTTCTACCGTTGGGAGCGGTAAATTCTTCGTGTACAACTTGACAAGGAAACTCATCGTAACAGCCCACAACATACAACTCGTGCAACATCGGCCAACCTCCCGTTCGACGCCATCGCAACCAAAGTACCGACTGGGCAAGTTTTTCGGGGTAATCGATTTCGCTCGCAAAGCACAGAGTGGGTACCTCCCGGTGATCCGGTTGGAAAAGTCGTAAACCCCTTGTTTCTTCATGTTGTAGCCGCTCTAGGAGTTTGAATGAATCCCGATCCGCACCCATTTTTTTATCTCCTCGTTTCGTACCATGAATGTGCTGATTGACGTGGTGCACTGCTGCGAAAAGCTGTTGTTTGTGAACGCACGTGAGGGAAGGAACTAAAGTGAAGAACCCTTCTCACCGCAAAGAAAGCAAGGCGTGCACCGTAGAGGAGTGCCTCCCTGTGTGCTATCCGAAAATAATCCCCCAGGAACAACGGTACTCTGACTCTGTAGACTAGTCTACAGAAGTTTAGACAGCCAGCAGTCGTGCGTGATAAACTGCGAGCGAGCCCAACTTCTACCCGCCATATATTGCGTTTATTCTTTGGTAGTATAAGACCAATGTTATCCATAGCCGAGAACGCAGAACCAAACCTACAGGCACGAATAGATGCATATGAATACAGCATCATACAACATGGGCATGTACATGAATACACGGGGGCTGCTTGTCGGATGCTATACTGCTGTAGGTGCGTACAATTAGGTGACATCATCATTGATATGATCTGGACCGATTTTCGAATCTCGATCACTCCATGACGAAGAGGATACATAAATCAACTGATATCTTCTCGGAAAGCTCTCGACGGGACGGTTCCAATGCCGCCATATTCGGCTCCGCCACTGCTGTGTTTGTGTTTGAAAATGGGGCGGGGGGGGTGATATCTTATGTCGCGTCCTTTATCTGTACGACAATTTGAAATTTGAACCCGCGCCGCGTATGCATCACACACGATTCTTCAACGAACATCAGCTAACGTCCCAATCGTCCGGGTCCGCATAGTCATGAACATATCAATCCCTCTCACCTCCCACTTCCGCTAGAGACCCGCACTGAATGCTGTGTCGTGTAGCTCGCGGCCTGCGAAAAACTACAGTAACAACCAAACGGTCCTTCCCATCATGCATGCACGTTAGTGGCCGATCGGTGAATCGGTGACAGTTCTGTCGATAGAGGAGCGAGAGACAAAAGACCAGAGACCAGAGCGACAAGCGACGAGAGAGCGCGACAGATACAGGCTGGCACCATCGCACCAGAGCCACATTCTCTTGCCCTCCTATGCACCATGGATATTGTTCTGCAGTACCTGGACCGTGAAGGGATGGATGCCTCAGAGCTTGACGAAGCGGTGGCTGACTACATGGTGCAGCTAGCGAGAGAAGGCGGGACGGAGGAAGAAGTGTGGAGCGTGATGGAGGGATGCTATCCGGAGCTGGAGGAGGTTGGTGTATGATCTTTTCTCACGCGCTATGCCTGTTTTGCCCTCTGTGTGCGTCGCTCTCGACACCCAGGTGGTACGATTTCACCATATTGTCAGATGACCAAACGCGGGCGTCGTCGTCTACCTCTGTATCTGCACATCTTCGAAACGACGATGAATGTAACATCGGTAGAGCAGTAGCAACGGCAGCAGTAGTGAGGCCTCCTCCTTCGGTATCCTCGTATGATATGCCGTGTACCATTCCACCAAGTCCATCAAGCCATGCGCACAACAGGTGTTCACCTCCGGCTCGGTCATATGAAAATGGTCTAGACTACTGCTGTAGCAAGAAGCGGCACTATTATTGTAAAACAAAAAGTGTCTCTTTTTCAACGGTTGAACTTTCAAACAAGATTGAGCTGCAGCAACACGCCAGGTGTAACAGCAGATTATGTTGGCACCGATCCCTCCCCCCGGCGCACGAAACTCGTCGATGCGGTACGTGCCGTCAACCGCGATTCTTTCAGGCGCAGTCGAAGTACAACAGCTAATGCCACAGACACACCTTATTGCGACAATACACGGCTACAAACGTGTAGACTGCTGTAACACATAACAAGGCAACAGCGAGGTGTGTACATGTCAATCGCATGTACACGTTTCAGAACACCCGTTATTTCTTGCTGTGAATTACCTCGGTGCCCGCAACGGCCCCTTTGGCACTTTCCCCTCCCGTTGAATGTTTTCCTGGTGTTCGAGCATCGATCCCGATTTTCGACTGTCATCTTGGACGGCCGTCCGTTTGCTTTGCGATTGATTTCGAACTTCTCTTTTTTGGCGTCGGCTTCTTTTCCCATCACCTCCCTTTTTTGTGAAACCGGTCGAATGTCAAAGAAGGACAGCCCTCAACGACAAGTTTCCTGGTAGCGGTCAACGTTCACGACGCGGCCGAGGAACGAACCCCGATGGGTGCTTCACGGAGTTGAAGGTTTTTCAGGCATACGGGTCACCACTGTGTGCACCCTACTATTTTCGGGCGAAGGTCGTTTCTTTTTTCTCCGTGGGGTACATAGCCCAACAGCGTACACATACAGCGAACACATATAGGTATTAGTGTAAGGCCCTTAATTCTTGACTGGGCACCTGTTTATCCGGTCAAGTTCTTCATCTCCCAGGTTCTTCTTGAAGGCGGCTCTGCTCAGCTCCCCTCCTACACCCAACTCCGCTGCGTCTGTGTACCATCCAATTAACAGTCGCCCGAGAGCAAGGAAGCGTTTTCCGCCGTGTTCCACCAGCTGAGGAACCCCAGCCAGCAGCCTGCCACGACGACGGCACCATCTTCCACAACCCCTGCGGAATCGTCCTCCACGACGGACCGGCAGCAGCAGCCTCTGCAACTGCAACCACACCATCAAGGCAACGACGGCCGGTCACCGGCTGAGGGGCGGAGTTCCGCTGGTGCCGAGGGCCGCCATTGTGACTCCGGCGGTACGGGGACGGCACGAGATGAAGCCGACGTGGGCTTCCTCAGAGAGATGTAAGATATGTACCGTGTCTTTTGCTATGATGGAACTCGTCTAACGAATGTACTTGTTGCAAGGAAAGCGTAACCCCTCGTCCCCCGAAGCTGTGTGCCTTCTTTTTGGGTCATGTTATATAAGACACCTCCCAACGCGTTGGCATCCATTTAAACATGATTTTTCAGCTTGCCTGGTCCCTCCATCCCTCCCTCCCTCCCTCCCCTTGGCATAGGAAAGGATTGTTTTTTATTGCGCTCATGTTTTTCCCTCCCCACACACACACACCCTTTCCGTTTCATTTCCATTTGGGGTGTCACCCTCCCCCCATCCTTTTTTTTTCCGGTTCCCAGGCCGCCCCCTTCAAACCCGACCACGGGTGCCCCCCCCCCCGCCCCCCCCCGTCTTAGAATGCCGCAGGTGTCCGATCGTGGGCTAAGGTATGTTCTTCACCGCGTGGCGAAAGGGAGCAGAGTGGCCGCCGCTTCCTACCTTGCGGACCGCTTCGCAGTCGGTTCTTCGTCTGCATCTCTCAAAGGTATACCATGCAAGTCCCTCACAGCAATGCAGCTATATGAAGCAAGTTGACGACATGACGCCCCGTACAGGTAATCATCTGTTTCATCTTGAAGTACTGCTGTAGTATACACAACGACACAAGACGTTTCCGCGGCTTACGCCGCCGCCGTCAACGAAACAGGCCCCCAAGGTGCATCGCCGAGGGGTAGACGTTGCCGGTCGCCATCATGCACGTGCCATGAAAAAGAGCGTATAATGTTCAATCATGCACTGTGTGTGTGCACGTGTGTGTGCGCACCACGCTCCCGCCTTCATGAAACACCGGCTTTGGGAGCGGCTCTCTTCCTTGCGAGGTCTGACTCTTTCATGCGTGAACGAAAGGCACAGATTCTTGCAAATTGCACAGACGCAGCAGTGTGAGTGGAGCACCAGCAAGCAGACTGGCAGAGGAGGGCAAGACTAAATAGTCACAAGAGATGTCACTGGTATTATTTTGTAGAGAGAGATGGTTCTTGTGCCATGTTTCGTGCTTCGCGTTTCGTCTTTTTAGTTTCTTTTTGTGTTGGTCGATGTACGTCACGAAGTAGTAGGCACAGATACAATTTCGTGCATACCTTCTGCTCGCACCGCGGTGAAACCGGCAACAACAAGCATAAAACTGCATGAGCACTAACGCCTTCACCAAAACCAACAGCGCAACAGCACCATCACCGACGACAACCTTTTTTTTTGCATGCCTGTGCGCGCGCGCCAGGCTTGGAGGCAGATGCAGAGGCGTTCGAGCGGAAGGAGCAGGGGGACGCGCGCAAGGCCCGGGAGGCCAGCGATCGAGCCGAGGAGGCCAGACGGAGGGACAAGGAGGAGCGTGACGCTCTCAAGGGCAAGATAGTGGGTCGGTACGCCGACGAGGTCAAGGTGGGCGCCTTCGGGGGGGGCCGGGGGGCCATGCCGCGTATGGGTTTTGTTTTGTGTATGGTACTCACTTGCTGTGTGAGGGATTTATCCGCCTTGAAAGACGGTTTGTGCTTGTGTTTGGTGTTCGGGCGCAGGAAATCGCCGGTCCGTTTGGGTGGGTGCCCCGATGGTGTTGATCTCGCACGTTTTTTTTGTTTTGGTTCACTTGTGTTTCTTGTTTTTCCTCATCCCTGCCCCCACGTGTAGACTGCAACCCTTCGACAAAATGTGTCTGCATGCAACTGATTTTCGGGGCTCTTGGTTGCCGCTGAGAGATGCAACGCGTTGGTCGCACACGACGACGGCGGCAACGTAACGTTCCACGCAGGCCTGTTTCGTAACCCTTCCAACACAACACCAATAAATCGTACCTGGTACTTGTTTTTGCGGCACGCACGCATGCACGTACGCACGCACACGCGCTGCTGCCTGTCGGCCTCTCTCTCTCTCTCTCTCTCTCTCTCGGCCTCCGCCTTCCACAGGCAGAAGGTGGCGCGACGAAAGCCGCGACGAAGAAGGTCGACCTTCCTGGCTTGACGGAGAAGAAGAAGACCACCCGGTACCGAGACGGGAAGGTCGTGACCACCACGGGTGCTAAGGTAAGAAAGTTGAGGAAACAGGGAGAGAGCACGCCGGCATTTTACCCTGTCCGTTGCCAGCTTGCACCACGTCTATTTTTTTTCGTCTTCAACGCAGCAAGTCGTCGGTGGTCGGCTGCTGCGACGTGCTTGCTTGCCGGCGAGAGAGGGAAACCACCGCCGCCGTGGTTCTCGTGTGCATACGTGTTTTGTCATATTATTTTTTTTTTGGCGACTTGTGTACGAAGCTTCTTCCTGCTGAACGTGCGGCACAGGATGCCCAGCATGAACCACAAGAAGAGAAACACTGCTTCTTCCCCGACGACCCGTTTCTAGCGTAGTGTTACACGCCTGCCCGAACCCGGAGCGGCTGTTCCACCCGCGATTCCCTCCCATTCTTCGTGGAGCCAAAAATTCGTTGGTGCCAACGACCATCAGACCGTTGGGGACTAATGCAAGCTTGAGAGCATTCCGGGAGACGTGTTTACCCTTCTCGTTGAGTGGCAATCACTTCGTGGGAGACAAGCCGACCTTTGAGAGAGGGCAAGGTGCTTCATAGCAACGTCTTGTGACAGACGTCACAATATTCTGTCACATCACATCCCACGATTTTTTTTGTGCCTTTTTGGCGGTTGCTCCAGACTGAGACCCCAAATTCTCTTGTTCAAAGAGTCTTTATTCCCGGCGAGTGGGGGATACCCAAACAATCGTACCCGCGACCTCTGTCGTAGGTCGTAGGATAGCCACGAGCTCTCCGTCGGCAACAACCACCGGTCCTGCTTCTTGGCTGGCTGACTGCTGTGTTTTCTTGCATGCATCAGGTGATCGTGGAAACCGTCAAGCCGGAATGGGACGGCGGCTCGAGAGGGAAGGTCAAGACGAAGGGAAAGCGCGGCAAGGGCTTCGTATGACGTGTACAGTTCGGCGCGCATCCGGGGGAGACGTGGAATCACCCGGGGGGGGACGTCAATGCGCGCTTGGTTGGCGCTAACCTGGGCCGCCGATCTATCTGCCTGTACTACTTCGGGTCAACGTCACAACTGTGCTTTGGGGGAAAGCACGTCGTGTACGCACGACCCAAGTGCTCGCAGCCTTAAGTACCAAAAGGGTTTTTCTCTGTCGTACGCGCAGAATTGCCGTTCCAGGTCGATCGCATAACAGCACGATTGTGCGCCTCATCGACTCGTTGTTTGTTTTTAGCACCGAACCCGCGAGTGCTTCAAGGGTTACTCGCTCGGAAAAACCGCCCTGCCACCTGTACTTGGTGCCTGCTCTTGTGGCCCCGCCCTCCACCCTGTATTTATCAGTCGGATTGGATTAAGGTTGAGGGCATTAGGGGATACTCGTGTGTGTGGGTCTTCTCGGCTGAGATAGATACCAGACCTTGTGAACTGTTCCATTTCGGCGCTCCGGCTCTCTTGACGCTCCTTGGAGGTGTGTTGCGGTTTTTAGTCTCGCCCAAGAATTACGTGCATTTACCAGGGTGTTATCGGGATTAAAGATTTGCTCCGGGGTGCAAACTGGGGCTGGGGGGGGGGGGGGGGGGGAGGGAGATCATTGTCGTATTCTCGCAGACCGTTGGCCACACGCCATCCTCTTTCGAGACGGGGCACAATTCCTACTCCTCAGCCACCAGTACAAAGACGTTCGACCAGGCGTTCCCAAAACTTGTGTATTTTCTTTTAACATGTACTCCAGTTTTCTTTGTAGTATCCCGTTCCTTTGCCGGTACTTTGGCAACCGCCTATGTATCTTGTCGCTTACGAACGTTCTCTTGACAACTCTCAAATTTACGAACCACCGATAAAGGTTCCATCTACGTGTTGTCCTCATCTCTTTTTTTTGCCGACGGGCCTCCCATTCTTGCCCGCACATGTTTCGTAAACACTACGCCAACCCCGTACGATCAACGATATTTCAAGTCTGAATGGGTGCCCTACAAAATGGCACCAATCCCCGCAGCTATGCATACAAAAACGGAAATGAACGGGTCGCGTACTCTGCCAACACTACTTGGTCGCTTCTGTGCAGCAGGCAATCCACACCTCCAAGCACTTCCCCCACACTTTCCTACAGAGAGGTAGGTCCTTCACATCAGAAACCGGGCGTGTTGATGCTTCGCCTTGGGATGTAGCCCGCCCGCATCCCCTCCAAGTTCTTGCGCGCGGTCACCACCTCCTCCGTATCCGCCCCGTTCAGCACTGACAGCGTCTCTATGTACCTCACCATTGCCTTCTGGCAGTCTTGGAGGTACACACGCCGGCTGGAGGCCAACCAGTCGCAGCCCCCGTCCTGAACCTCCCCCCCCCCTCCCCCCCCCGCCCCTACCGGATTATATACTGTCGTGGGGCGGGATGGGTCGCCATGCCGTCTCCCGCACACCGTGCAGCCGCCGCCGCCCAAGCCTAGATATTTCGGCCCCATGCCGCTGCTGCTGGTGGTAGCCGTCGTGCGCGGAGGCGGTTGCCGAAAGTCGGGGACGGACAAACGGCGTGTTGGGTGTATGATCACAGGGTTGAGAATCGTGTCGGGCGTGATCTGGCCTAACGGTGTCAAGCAGGGCACTATTATAGTCGAGGTGTTGGTGAGCCATTTGCTGGCGTGATCTACACAAGAGCATTGCGTGCTTTGCTAGTTCGGGGGTTCGCCACTTATGGGTGTTGTTCGTGCATACCTTGAAGAAAGATGGGGATCTACTGGTGAATATACCACCTTCGTCACAGCCCCCCGAGAAAAAACACAAAAAAAAAGAGCCAAAAAATACCAAAAGAGTCTTGAGATAATGTATCTCTAAAGGTACTACTGTACAGCTCTAGGTCCAGACGTTTCCGAGAAACGAAACGGTACGCAACGGAGTGCCGGCAGCAGGAGCAGCAGTAAAAGTGCAGCGGTACGATATTGCGTCCCCAAAACTGAAAAAAAAAAAAACTTCCCAAAACATAAACAAACAACACCCCAAAACCCAATATATATACTTAGTATAGTCCAACGTCCTTGTTGGTCAACGGAGCAACTTTTATTGTCCAATCATCACCGAGGGGCGAGAACGAAACCGTAGCCCGAGGGAACGCCTGTGGGAGTTCCAGGACAAGAGATCGCACCGTCTAGACGCACAAAGCCAACAGACATGCGCACACGCTGGCAGCACGAGCCAAGCGTGTTTGTTGCGATGGATCCAAAAACTCCTCTGTAGACAGGGAGCAACTCGTAGTCCATGGGGTAAATAGCTGGCTGGCGGCGAGGCGAGACAGAACAAAAAACAAAAAACGTCGACCTCGATTCGAGGAAACCCGGAGTCTTACAGCCCGCACGGGGTAAATACTGTAGCTGGCGAGACAGCTAAAAATTGTCCTTCCTCCATTGAGTAAAAACCCCGGGTTTCACAGGCCCGGCAAAAAAAGCGACCCCCGGTATTCTCACCTATCGCACCCCGCAAACGGTGCCACCGCCGCCGCCTGCTTCTTCGGCTCCGACCCCCCCCCTGCGATGATGCCGCGGCGGGGAGGTGGGGTCAGGACGAGGCCCGCGTACGTCCGGCAGCGTTCGGAAGCCGACGGCGTTTTGGGGGTTCTTCTGCCGTGACGCGCTGCTGCTTTTGCCTCTTGCTGCGACGGTGTGGTGGCAAGTGAGGCGAGGTCCGTCGGGAGAGGGTAATGATCGGATAAAAAAAACGAACCAGCGCCGCCCCGGATGAAAAAAAGCGCAGAAACGAGAAGGCCAGTGGATACTACGCTGGTGTAGGTTAGGCCCCCAAGACCCGCCCCAAGACAAACAACGAAGATAAATAGTGGTATCACCAGTATGGGCTTTCACGTTTTCTAGAGGTGCCTGGTCACCGCCGACGTGAAAATTCGTTCCTCGTCCGAGAAGATCTTCTAAATTCGAACAAAGGACAAGGCGCGGAAGAAGAACAAGAAGAAGAGAAGAATCTATCCATTGCAGTCTCAATCAGCGGTGTCGTGGCAAGCGACAAACTCAATTGTGTTTCCAATTTATGTACAATGTAGGCCATTTCTCGTCTCCAGGTTGTCCTGCTGTACAGGCCCCATGCACATGCTTGCGTGTACATAGATGTGGCGTGATACACACGCCAGGCTGTCCTTCTCCACATCTCGTGCGGGAGAGACGGTGCGACGGCGTCAGAGAGCAAGGGTAGTACCTGTCCGGTTCAACCCGGGTTCAGTGCTGAGACTGGTTCCCATCTGGGCTAGCTACCCGCCCAACGGGTTGACCGGCATCTTCACAGCTCAAATCATATCGGATGCGTATCGGCGATATGTACAGTACCTCTACTTCGACAATAATCTCCCGTTAGGCCTAAAATCAGAGAAATAAGTCGGAGACCTTCATTCAGCCGGTACCCACCGCGTCCACCTGCTCGTAAGACACCGTTCGTGAAAATTGTTTTCACCAGGTCCAAGTTTAAACTCTAGCTTCACTCCGTCCCTTAAGTGTCCTGACTCCACCTCTTTTGTTTGAAATCTAGCTTCAACTCCGTCCCTTTTCTCGGCAAGCAACCCTATCCTCTGGTAGGGGTAAACACTCCGTAGTCCTGCATTGGCGCTCTTTTTTCGCTCTTACCCCGTTCAGGACTTAGGGCGGGTCTTGCCTGCCCGTCACAAACGTTGGTCGTGTGGCGTTCTATTGGGCATACATATCTCGCGCAGGGGGCGACGATTGAGATTCTCCCACGGCTCAACTCGCGAACTGCGGCTTGGGGACAAACGCTTTCGAGGGAATGCGCTAACTTCACTTCACCCGAGTATGCCTTGCAGCAGCAAAAGTTGCCATGCTCGTAGTAATAGCTGTCCAGTCCCCTGCACACACAACTCTCTCGAAACCGCTCTCCCCCTCACGGCTACTCCACGACTCCACTACTTCCACCCTACAGCGGTAAAAGCCCCGCACCTAGCACGATCACACCCATGCACCGCAAGGTTGCGAGTCAGCGCACAGGGGTGCGAACGATTTTCAAAGCGTAATTTCTCCACAACCAGGAGGTTACCACTGTCGAAACAGGGCAGTCTTGGAAATATCTCGTCGAGAGCTTTCTTGAGAAGCATCCGTTGGCGCTCGCACCCTCCTGTTTGTGGAGAAATTACGCTTTGAAAATCGATGCGCTGACTCGCAACACTACGGTAGCCAGCCAGCCAGCTCAGCTTAGCGCGGGAGACCAACCCCCGCCCAAGCCGAGCAAAGACCTTGCCGAGAACAGCATTGTACACTTCTTTTTCACATACCCCGATTGCTTTCATTTTCCCCTGGTCAACCTCATCTCGACAAATTCACCTTCGCCACCCCGCACGAGGCTTAAAAACCGACCGGCAAGCAACAAACCACCGCAGCAAAAATTTTCGCTCACCTGTAGGTGGATAGCTGTTTGCCAGAGGGTGTGTGCCAGCTGCTCGCAAGCTATGGCCGCATCCACGCAAGGCCTGTCGGGTTGGTATGGGCACGCCAGGGACGGGGGGGTACGAAGCATTCATTATCATCATCATCATCGTCATCATCATCGTCATCATCATCATCATCATCATCATCATCATCGTCATCATCGAGAAGCAGTAGCCGCAGAACCAGCATCAGCAGCAGCACCAGCAGCACCACGTGATACCGCGGCATAGCTGTACACGGCCACGCAGAAAACCCACCTAAGACGCGCGGGCGGGCTGCATGCATCCATCTACCCACTCCCCGTGTGCAGGCGGGATGTTGTTATTGCTTCCTCCCTTGCTTGCGGGGGGGGGGCAAAGACAACGGTTCGCATTTTCATTGTCCCTCTCACGTACAACCCCAAGATCGCTTTTGTCTCCAAACACCCCCATGTGTACCAGTGGCATGAATCCGCGGGACCACCGGCGATTTGGGTCGTGAGTTAGCCTCTCTATCTACAATAGGGGTAATTGGTGGCCCACCACAAACACACACTTCCTTCCTTCCGAAACACGTTCGAGAAAGAAAACGGTGTTGCGCAGCCAGCCCAAACGGGGCAGAGGTGCAGCAGGCCTTGGCTTAATAAAGAGGGTGTCACGGCTAGATGCCGCGCTTGAAGAAAGCGAGCCAGCGGCGTTTCGTCAAAAAGCGCACGACCGATAGACAACAGCTGGTTGGGCTACACGGCACAAAAAATTAAAAAAGGCACGTGTGTATTCGTGTGTGTGTGCGGGGGTCCCTCTTCGCATTCATGTGTCAAGCCACGATATGCCAGAGCTACATGTACCAAAACCAAGCCCGGGGAGGGGGGGCGTACTCTCATGTTTTGCATGCCTTAGCGGCTAGACCGTCGACCACGTGTCCTCGACAGGACGGAGCATTGTTCCCACAGGACCGATCATCGATGGTCAATCGCTCCTTCCTATTCTGCCAAATGTGGCTCAAATGTGTCATCCTAGCCCATCTATCCTATCGATATCACTTCCCTTCCCGCCTTTTCAACCCACTTCCTTTGCCCCAGGACTGCTGCCGTCTTCTCCCGGCTATTCCATGCCTCAAACATTTCCCTGTATGCTACCTTCCTTCTTACTTCCCCAGCTCAGTAGTGTACACTTCCCTCTCCTTCTTGTACAACCGACATTCTGCAACTACATGAACCCGGTCTTCGCACTCGGAGCCGCAATCACGTTTGAACTTGTCGCCTTCATCGTCTTCATACCTTCCTCAATCTTCGTCTATTTTCTCGAATGTCCCCGGTCCTGAGTTTGACCTTCAGCTTTGTCCGTGCATCCATTGGTCCATTGTAGATTTCTTTCAACTCGGTATACATCTAAACCTTCCTTATTTTTGGTTCTTTGGTTAGATTCTGTTCTTCTCTCTCGGCGTAAGCAGCAGATCTATTCTCCTTGAACCCCTCTAGACCTTCGGTTTCCAGCGTATCACCTTCGTCCATTTCGAACCCCTTCCATACGTCATATGCAACCTTGACCCACTCCGTGTGTTGTCTACCCCTCTTCTTGGCTGCTCACTCCGCCTCCCAAGCTATTCTTGGCAACCTCTCCTCTCCCATACCGCATATGCAGTACTGTCATTTTAGCTTCCTTGTGTCTCTTCCCGATCGTAGGGATATAGGGATTGGATCCCCAGTTCTGCCCTGACGGCTGCAATACTTGTGCACTTGGAGCATCCTAGGATGATTTTCGCTGCTTCCATCTGCGCCGCCTCGAGCTCTTTGACTACAGTACCTTCTTGTTTCTTTCCCATACTTCTCCGGCGTGCCGAGACCGGGGGAGCGCGTCAGGCACAGGCAGCCAGGGTTACGCAGCAGCCGGGTGAGACACTACCCCAACACCTCCACCAACTCAATACCACTCCACAAGTCGACGGCTGTGACTGCTCAAAGGACATAAAATATATGTCTTTATCTCTAAGACTTGCAGCCACAGCATGCCGACGAATCTGATTTGACTTAGATTGGTGAGGTACCACATAGAATCCCGATCTCATCCTTCGTGTTAGACAGCAGTATCTTACCTTCCGAACATGCTGTCATAGCCCACAAATAGCTGGTGCAAGTGGTACGCGGCCTCAGCCCCTCGAAACACGCCGCTGTCGGAAAGGTCAAGGAGAACAGCCGCCATCAACCGGTGAATCGAGCACATCAAGTGGTGGTCCGCGAAGAGGAACACCCCCACGCAAAACGCCCGCTGCAAGGGCTAACCAAATTCGCATACACAGCACAAACACGCGGAGGGGGAGAGAAGAGAGAGAGAAGAGACAGAGAAGAGACAGAGAAGAGGGAAGAGAGAAGAGAGACAGAGAAAGGCAGAGAGAGAGACAGAGAGAGAGACAGATGAGAGAAAAGAGAGAGAGAGATGAGAGACGAGAGAGAGCACGAGAAGTCGGGGGGGGGGGGGGGGGGGGCCCTTTTGGTTTTGCTGGCTTTAGGGGTTAACCCTTTGCCCCCCCCCCCCCGGGGGGGGGGGGCTTTTTTCCCCCGGGCCCAACCCCCGGGGGGCATCCTTTCTTCCCTCTTTTGCCAAGGGGGGCCCAAAAAGGTTTTTCCTGTTTGGTTTTCCCTCCCAGGTTCCTTTCCCCTTTTTTTAAACCCTTTTTTCTCCCCCGGACCCCTCCCCGCCCCCCCCCTCTTTTTCCTGGCCCCAAAATTTCCCTGGGGGTCCCTTTGTTTTTTCCCCCCCCCCCCCTGGAAACTTTCCCCCCCTTTTTTTAACCCGGGAATTTCCCGGA